CCCATTGCAAGACCGCAAGTACACATGAAGTATACCATTTGGGACAGGGCCTAAGACAATCTCTGGCTCATATACCGCTCATGCTCACCGGAAAAGCAAAGTCCGCTCAAATAACACGCCAACAGGAAATTTCTATGTAGTATGTAGTATAAATTTCTACTTGTTCCTGTTTGCAACAGCAAATTACTTTATATTATTTAATAAAATAATAAGTAACTATTACAAAGCATTTTCGGTTTTCGGGCCAAGTGCATCCAGAATTTTCGGTTTCAGCCCAGAATTTTCATTTCGGTGCATCCCTAATAAATACACACATACACAGACAATACTGGTCAAAAGTTTGGAATCGTTACGAAGTCTCTTATGCTCAACAAGGCTACATTTATCTTAGCAAAAATATAAAAACAATGCAAAGTATTATTACATTAATATTTAAAATAACTGTTTTTTATTTTAATATTTTTTTAAATGTAATTTCTTTTTGTGATGCAAAGCTGAATTTTCAGCAGTGATACATTTTTAGGACTCTTTGATGACCATTTATTTGAATATTTAATACTTTAAATATTTAAATATTTTTATCAGAACTTTTGATCAATTTAATGTGTCCTTGCTAGGGCTGGGCGATATAGCTAAAAAAACTATCAACGAATCAACGATATACAGGTGCATCTCAATAAATTAAAATGTCATGGAAAAGTTCATTTATTTCAGTAATTCAACTCAAATTGTGAAACTCGTGTATTAAATAAATTCAACGCACACAGATTGAAGTAGTTTAAGTCTTTGGTTCTTTTAATTGTGATGATTTTGGCTCACATTTAACAAAAACCCACCAATTCACTATCTCAACAAATTAGAATACTTCATAAGACCAATAAAAAAACTCGACTGGCTGGCTGAGACAGAGGAAGAGGGAATGGAAGGCTGGGTGGGAATTTTGGCTCACCTTTAACAAAAACCCACCAATTCACTATCTCAACAAATTAGAATACTTCATAAGACCAATAAAAAAACGTTTTTAGTGAATTGTTGGCCTCCTGGAAAGTATGTTAATTTACTGTAAATGTACTCAATACTTGGTAGGGGCTCCTTTTGCTTTAATTACTGCCTCAATTCGGCGTGGCATGGAGGTGATCAGTTTGTGGCACTGCCGAGGTGGTACGGAAGCCCAGGTTTCTTTGACATTGGCCTTCAGCTCATCTGCATTTTTTGGTCTCTTGTTTCTCATTTTCCTCTTGACGATACCACATAGATTCTCTATGGGGTTCAGGTCTGGTGAGTTTGCAGGCCAGTCAAGCACACCAACACCATGGTCATTTAACCAACTTTTGGTGCTTTTGGCAGTGTGGGCAGGTGCCAAATCCTGCTGGAAAATGAAATCAGCATCTTCAAAAAGCTGGTCAGCAGAAGGAAGCATGAAGTGACTGGTAACTGATGACGCTCCCTGATGCAACACTAACATTTATTTTAAATTCGACTAATATTCATTCTTTATTCACAATCTCCTCATCACAGGCAGGCACAGCACTCAATTCAGCATGTGTTAGCGTTTGTGAGTGCTGTCATAGCACGTGCCTATATCGTGCGCTAAATCTAACATTTTTTATATCGTTATCGAAGAAGGTGTACCGTCGATAAATATTGATACCGTTTTATCGCCCAGGCCTAGTCCTTGCTGAATAAAAACATGAATTTCTTTCTTTCTTTTTTTTTTTTTTTACTTACCACAAACTTTTAAATGGTAATGTATCATGGGTTTCACAATAATTAAATAAGCAAAAATAGGAATTTTCATCATTGACAGGAAAATTTTAAGACTGGAATAATAATGCTGAAAATTCAGCTTTGCATCACAGAAATAAATTTCATTTTATAATATATTATAAAATGAAAACTAGTTTTTTTAAATTGTAGTAATATTCCACAATACTACTGTATTTACCTATTTTTTTATCAAATATGTCTTGACATTTCAAAAATTCTTAATGATATGTGTGTGTGTGTGTGTGTGTGTGTGTGTACATGCACGCACACAGACTTCTGGTTTACCTTTATATAATTATATATTAAATATAAAATTGAAAAAAAAATTTGAATGGCTTTAAAATGAATGGCTGAAACTATGTTGAGTAATTATTGAAACAAATATGTTACTTCACCAGTCAGGAAAAAAAAAAGTTACCAGTCTGGGTTTTAATCTTAAGGTGTGGCTAAGACAACTGTTATGCAATCTGAAATCCTGTTTGCAAAATGTATGCATTTTATGAGAGCTGAACTCACTGCAGTAAGTAACAGTATATCCGCCTCTGGGTGAAGGCATAAGGTTGTGCTACAATTAGAGATCTTAGTGTTTTGTTTGTAAGCAAACATTTAGAATCAATGAATCATTCTCACTGCACTGACTTGCACACCGACTGAAGTAGTTTAAGTCTTTGGTTCTTTTGATTGTGATGATTTTGGCTCACATTTAACAAAAACCCACCAATTCACTAGCTCAACAAATTAGAATCATAAGACCAATAAAAAAATGTTTTATTGAATTGTTGGCCTTCTGGAAAGTATGTTAATTTACTGTACATGTATTCAATACTTGGTAGGGGCTCCTTTTGCTTTAATTACTGCCTTTTGCTTTAATTCGGCGTGGCATGGAGGTGATCCGTTTGTGGCACTGCTGAGGTGGTATGGAAGCCCAGGGTTCTTTGACGGTGGCCTTCAGCTCATCTACATTTTTTTGGTCTCTTGTTTCTCATTTTCCTCTTGACAATACCCCATAGATTCTCTATGGGGTTCAGGTCTGGTGAGTTTGCTGGCCAGTCAAGCACACCAACACCATGGTCATTTAACCAACTTTTGGTGCTTTTGGCAGTGTGGGCAGGTGCCAAATCCTGCTGGAAAATGAAATCAGCATCTTCAAAAAGCTGGTCAGCAGAAGGAAGCATGAAGTGACTGGTAACTGATGACGCTCCCTGATGCAACACTAACATTTATTTTAAATTCGACTAATATTCATTCTTTATTCACAATCTCCTCATCACAGGCAGGCACAGCACTCAATTCAGCATGTGTTAGCGTTTGTGAGTGCTGTCATAGCACGTGCCTATATCGTGCGCTAAATCTAACATTTTTTATATCGTTATCGAAGAAGGTGTACCGTCGATAAATATTGATACCGTTTTATCGCCCAGGCCTAGTCCTTGCTGAATAAAAACATGAATTTCTTTCTTTCTTTTTTTTTTTTTTTACTTACCACAAACTTTTAAATGGTAATGTATCATGGGTTTCACAATAATTAAATAAGCAAAAATAGGAATTTTCATCATTGACAGGAAAATTTTAAGACTGGAATAATAATGCTGAAAATTCAGCTTTGCATCACAGAAATAAATTACATTTTATAATATATTAAAATGAAAACTAGTTTTTTTAAATTGTAGTAATATTCCACAATACTACTGTATTTACCTATTTTTTTATCAAATATGTCTTGACATTTCAAAAATTCTTAATGATATGTGTGTGTGTGTGTGTGTGTGTGTGTGTACATGCACGCACACAGACTTCTGGTTTACCTTTATATAATTATATATTAAATATAAAATTGAAAAAAAAATTTGAATGGCTTTAAAATGAATGGCTGAAACTATGTTGAGTAATTATTGAAACAAATATGTTACTTCACCAGTCAGGAAAAAAAAAAGTTACCAGTCTGGGTTTTAATCTTAAGGTGTGGCTAAGACAACTGTTATGCAATCTGAAATCCTGTTTGCAAAATGTATGCATTTTATGAGAGCTGAACTCACTGCAGTAAGTAACAGTATATCCGCCTCTGGGTGAAGGCATAAGGTTGTGCTACAATTAGAGATCTTAGTGTTTTGTTTGTAAGCAAACATTTAGAATCAATGAATCATTCTCACTGCACTGACTCGTCTTTCCCGTTTGAAGTGAATACCAACTTTACAGCCTTGAGGTGCAGTTTCTTTTACCGTTGCTCATTTCAATTTGTTTCAATAGGAACCCATGCTCGAGAGTGAAAAACTTCACCATGCAGATTTCACTAACGTTCAAGTTGCGCTGACCAACTGAGAGCTGCTTGGTTTGACAGTGACTTCTCCGTGAGCTGAGCATCACACCTCGCTACACTATTGACAATAGAAAATGGACCGCTTTTTTGACCGAATGTGACCACACCTTTAAAGAATGGCTATACCACGAGCCAATAGCATTCGACCGCAGGTATTGACTGGGCATGTTATTGGTTGACTTACTAAATTAACACTCCACCTTCACTAAACGGGTCATTTTGAGTCTGAAAGAGTACTTATTGCGACTCTTATTCATGAAAGGTAGTTGGAGAAACAACAACAGGCTTTGTTGTCATAATAAAGGAAAATTATTACACTTGTTTCGGTCATGAACGAAGGAATCACTTGAATGCATGATTCAATGACTTGCTTATTACACAGAGAAAGACGGTCACTTGCCGCCACCTACTGGCGTAACAATATAAACTGCAGAAAGAGTCACTGAACAAACAGTTAAAGATGTTTTTGGCGGATTTAAATGATTCGAGTCAGAATCACTAGCTATTCAAACTCATGATCATCAAAACAAATCCAACAAGATTCAGAACCATTACACATGCGATAAAACTTAGTAATGCAGCTACAGCTTATATATGGCTTAGACAGTAACACACAAACAACGTCCTTTATTTATGTTTTTTTCAAATTTTCTCTGTTTAAAACCGAATCTGTCACAAATATGGGCATGTGTGCTGTGCAGACAGCAGATCTTTGCAGGTTTTGTGTCATGCAGTGAAGCAGAGACCAGCACACGGCCTTTAACGGGCTAACCCACTGTAGCATGCTAGCCTCAAATCCAAATCTGCATATATTGTTTTATATCTTCCGCTTAAAACGGCAAATTTACTGAATAACGAAACGGACGTGTAGAATAAATAAAAGCACGGAGGTGTGCATCATTGCCACTCACCCTACCTGTTTCCACAAAAGCTTTTTATTCCAGAGAGGCTTGACATAACAGCGCAGAACATTAGCCAGCAACAGTGCAGCTGTAAACACAAACCAAACCCCGCTCGTACTGCGCATGCGCCGCCGCACTCTTCGGAAATCTTCAGAATGGAATCAGATACTAGCGTACTGCTTTCTGCGCAGTATGTACTATATTCTGCATACTGATATAGCATGTTGACAAAGTTGTGGAGGGAAAACAATTCAACAGTAGTATGCTACGCAGTTGTCATGTTAAATCATTATGTTGCATGTTTACCTGAAAAGAGCGTAGTCTGTTTATCATTTACAAAATAAACACAATTTCACATTTTTAATCTACTTTACATCAAATTTTGAAACATTTGGCAGTCCAATTGAGTAATAAGGCAAAAAAAAGACAAATTAGAGCTGATATTAAATGGAAGTTGAGTCGCATACTACGTACTGCATTAAAAAGTAGACTGTCTGTTAGTATCCTATTCCAAACATTCCAAAGAAGAACCATTACTTTACTGCAACAGACAATAGTCAGGGTAGCACCATATTTAATATTTTGACAGGAATAAAAATAAGGCTGTGAGGGTCGGATAGAAGTAGAGTGTGTTCAATAGATTTGACTGTTCAGCTCATTAAACGTCTTCCTGAAAAACCTTAATGAGGGAAAAACTCCATAAAATGGTTTTGGGTTGTGAAAATGATCTAAGATCTTCATAAAGTGTGTGCCATTCTAAAGACTGCCACAAATATGGGCATGTGTGCTGTGCAGACAGCAGATCTTTGCAGGTTTTGTGTCATGCAGTGAAGCAGAGACCAGCACACGGCCTTTAACGGGCTAACCCACTGTAGCATGCTAGCCTCAAATCCAAATCTGCATATATTGTTTTATATCTTCCGCTTAAAACGGCAAATTTACTGAATAACGAAACGGACGTGTAGAATAAATAAAAGCACGGAGGTGTGCATCATTGCCACTCACCCTACCTGTTTCCACAAAAGCTTTTTATTCCAGAGAGGCTTGACATAACAGCGCAGAACATTAGCCAGCAACAGTGCAGCTGTAAACACAAACCAAACCCCGCTCGCACTGCGCATGCGCCGCCGCACTCTTCGGAAATCTTCAGAATGGAATCAGATACTAGCGTACTGCTTTCTGCGCAGTATGTACTATATTCTGCATACTGATATAGCATGTTGACAGAGTTGTGGAGGGAAAACAATTCAACAGTAGTATGCTACGCTGTTGTCATGTTAAATCATTATGTTGCATGTTTACCTGAAAAGAGCGTAGTCTGTTTATCATTTACAAAATAAACACAATTTCACATTTTTAATCTACTTTACATCAAATTTTGAAACATTTGGCAGTCCAATTGAGTAATAAGGCAAAAAAAGACAAATTAGAGCTGATATTAAATGGAAGTTGAGTCGCATACTACGTACTGCATTAAAAAGTAGACTGTCTGTTAGTATCCTATTCCAAACATTCCAAAGAAGAACCATTACTTTACTGCAACAGACAATAGTCAGGGTAGCACCATATTTAATATTTTGACAGGAATAAAAAATAAGGCTGTGAGGGTCGGATAGAAGTAGAGTGTGTTCAATAGATTTGACTGTTCAGCTCATTAAACGTCTTCCTGAAAAACCTTAATGAGGGAAAAACTCCATAAAATGGTTTTGGGTTGTGAAAATGATCTAAGATCTTCATAAAGTGTGTGCCATTCTAAAGACTGCAAGACTGCCTCGTTTTGATTCATGTTAAATTCAATATGGTGTCTAAACTGACATGCATCGAATTCCATGCATACAGAAAATGTCCACATACTATAGAATACATGGGTAATGGCAGATATAGAAAGATGAAATAGTAACTATGTCAAATCTACAATATGAATATGGCCCTTTCGACCCCTTCCAGGTTGTAATGTTACAACATGGCTTGGATCAATTTTCCTTCCTCTTTAAGAAAAGTTTCTCTTGCCTTTTATTTGGTTTTACAACTTAGGAAACTTTTATTTTATACTTGCATAATCAACAGGGGTTTTCATTACTGTTGGCCTTACATTCCCTTACGAAAAATAAGTTTATTCAAGTGCGATTACAGGTTCTTCAGTTTGTCCAGGTGAGGCTATTACAGTCTAGTAGCCCACCATACCATCGTACACCAGCAGATGTCATGCTTATTCATAAAACTGCATCCTAGGGGTATAAGAAAGAGTCTGAACATTTATGTAACGATGTAACTGTTTATTATCTTGGCATGCAACTACATGTCATGACCTTTAGACTCATCTCACCAGCTTGCCCTACATATCAGAGCCAAGCATAGCCAAGATACAAGAGCAATAACAAACAAAAAAACTGTAAGAATTGACTGTGCGTTGGCTACATTTCTATATATTCATTCTTGCATTGCCACAAGCAAAAGGGAAAACTTTGCCCGGTGGTATTTAAAAAGAAACAAATGCAATATAAATAATTTCTACTATTATTTCATCAAAAGATATTCCTGACTTTTAGAATCTTTCTCTCTGTGACCATAAATAGCCTCATATATCTGATTATATATCATAAAAATGTGCAGTATGTCCATCTAATGATGGCTCTGGTTATATAAAATGACGGATGCCCATCTTCTATTCATTTACAATTGAATCGAACAATAGATTTGCAAATAAAATGTCTAATACAGACGTAAAAGTATCCAACACATCAGTTCGTTTTTGCAGTTGCATACAGGACAAAAACAAGCATCATCACAACCAAACACGTCCTGCCCCATTATTACAGCTAAGCAAATTTTTAAAATTTAAATGCAAACAAAACTGACATTTCCAAAGGAAAGAAAACTACAGAACTATGGATATAAAACAATAACAATCATAATCCTGATATTAATCCATAAGAGCAGAAAGTAAGTGCTATAGGAGGTGAGTAAAATGCAAGATACAGTGCAGGACACTCACAGCACTGGGGTGTTGTGTGACACAACTACACAATCATGCTTCCTTTGCCAAAGAACCTCTTTGCCAAAGGCAGCATGCATGATACAGGGCTGAGCTGGGCAGATAAACGAGTTGAACATGTACTAATAAGGCTTTGCTGCATCGCAATGGGTGATAAAAAAAGGAAAAAGGCCATTTGATAGCTAGTGAGAAAATTAAAAAGGAAACTTGTATTGTTACCAACCCAGCGCCATTTTTAAAACTCTCATATCGAACAAATAGAATATAAACCAAAATTAAAGGCAAAATTCTTTACATGTACACTAAATCAACAAGATGTTATGCTTATACACACTAGGACTCATCCATTAAAAAATCAACAAATTACTGTATATCGTTCAAAAAAACTGGAAGGTGCAGCTGTAGCATTGCCTGTTGAAAAACACTTTGACTGCAGGAGGCAAAATGAGATTTAATGAGACAGCATTTGAGCCTAGACCAGGAATATTCACTTTACATTTCTCCTTTCAGTGGAAAAGCACTAATACCACATAAGTAAAACCGTGATTAACAGTCTTAAGTGATAATGCATTCATATTCATATTTTGTTCAGGCTTAAGACAATATGCACATTCAAATATACACAAACATAACTGGTCCAGGCAACACATTTAACAAAAGACAAATCAGTGACCGGAGAAAAATATTAAACAAAAAAACAATCCTGTCATAAATGAAATACTTAAATGCTATTTTAAATAGGAGAGCTTTCTATACGCTGTTACACAGTTTTCATCTCCTTTGAGGAACACTACAGTGCACAAAACTACATTAAAACATCTGCTGTTTTGAAGTTATTGTGATTATTTTTCCTCTATTTACTCTTAATCAAGTAGGAAATAATCCTCAAAAACATGTGATGGTTTGTAGATACTGTAGGGTTGATTGTACTTTCAAAATGCTGACCAAACTATTAAAAACTGATACAAAATATCCCAACAACTTCATGGAAGTTAGCAATGTTTTGTAATAAAATAAGGGAAAACGAGAATTTTGGAAAATAAAGAACCCTAAAACTCCATCTAATCATCTGTATTCTTCAAACTGAACTACAGGAATAAACAACAGCAAAAACAAAAACCGAAGTGACCTTTTGACTATTGTAAACAACAGACAGGAACTGGCACTGTATTAGACGTTTCATACACACTAAACAATTCCACATCCTCAAACAAGACTGAACTGTGAAATTCTGTTGTGCTATTTGTTGCTTATAGCTATTAAAGATACAGCTCACCCAAAAATGACCAAAATGCTGTTGTAGTACACGAGTCCAAGTCTAAGGACCATTTATTCATGGTCTTGGTCTTGTCATGGATTCTCTGTCTTGACTCGGACTCGGCCCTCTTCTGGTCTCCGTATTGATTTAGACTCTGCCCTGTTGTGGTGTTTGCTTTGACCCAGATGTGACTCTATTCTGTTCTCTGTCTTGACCCAGACTCAATCCTCTTCTGGTTTCTGTCCTGACTCAGACTCTGCCCTCTTCTGGTCGCTGTCTTGACTAGGATTCAGCCTTCTTCTGGTCTCTGTCTTGAGTCAGACTCGGCCCTCTTCTGGTCTCTGTCTTGAGTCGGACTCTGCCATCTTCTGGTCTCTGTCTTGAGTCGGACTCGGCCGTCTTCTGGTCTCTGTTTTGAGTCGGACTCCGCCCTCTTCTGGTCTCTGTTTTGAGTCGGACTCGGCCCTCTTCTGGTCTCTGTCTTTAGTCGGACTCGGCCCTCTTCTGGTCTCTGTCTTTAGTCGGACTCGGCCCTCTTCTGGTCTCTGTCTTGAGTCGGACTCGGCCCTCTTCTGGTCTCTGTCTTGACTCAGACTCGGCCCTCTTCTGGTCTCGTTATTGATTCAGACACTGCCCTGTTGTGGTGTTTGCTTTGACCCAGATGTGACTCTCTTCTGGTCTCTGTCTTGACCCAGACTCAATCCTCTTCTGGTTTCTGTCCTGACTCAGACTCTGCCCTCTTCTGGTCGCTGTCTTCACTCAGACTCTGCCCTCTTCTGGTCGCTGTCTTGACTAGGATTCAGCCCTCTTCTGGTCGCTGTCTTGACTAGGATTCAGCCTTCTTCTGGTCTCTGTCTTGAGTCGGACTCAGCCCTCTTCTGGTCTCTGTCTTGAGTCGGACTCGGCCCTCTTCTGGTCTCTGTCTTTAGTCAGACTCTGCCTTCTTCTGGTCTCTGTCTTGAGTCGCACTCGGCCCTCTTCTGGTCTCTGTCTTGAGTCGGACTCAGCCCTCTTATGGTCTCTGTCTTGACTCGTACTCGGCCCTCTTCTGGTCTTGGTATTGATTCAGACTCTGCCCTGTTGTGGTGTTTGCTTTAACCCAGATGTGACTCTCTTCTGGTCTCTGTCTTGAGTCGGACTCTGCCCTCTTCTGGTCTCTGTCTTGAGTCGCACTCTGCACTCTTCTGGTCTCTGTCTTGAGTCGGACTCAGCCCTCTTCTGGTCTCTGTCTTTAGTCAGACTCTGCCTTCTTCTGGTCTCTGTCTTGAGTCGCACTCGGCCCTCTTCTGGTCTCTGTCTTGAGTCGGACTCAGCCCTCTTATGGTCTCTGTCTTGACTCGTACTCGGCCCTCTTCTGGTCTTGGTATTGATTCAGACTCTGCCCTGTTGTGGTGTTTGCTTTAACCCAGATGTGACTCTCTTCTGGTCTCTGTCTTGAGTCGGACTCTGCCCTCTTCTGGTCTCTGTCTTGAGTCGCACTCTGCACACTTCTGGTCTCTGTCTTGAGTCGGACTCGGCCCTCTTCTGGTCTCTGTCTTGAGTCGGACTCCGCCCACTTCTGGTCTCTGTCTTTAGTCTGACTTTGCCCTCTTCAGGTCTCTGTCTTGACTCTGATTTGACCCTCTTCTGGTCTCTGTCATTAGTCTGACTCCGCCCTCTTCTGGTCTCTGTCTTGACTCTGATTTGACCCTCTTCTGGTCTCTGTCTTGACCCAGATGTGACTATCTTCTGATTTTAGTCTTGACTTGGAATCAACACTCTTCTGGTCTCTTGTCTTGACTAGGATTCAGCCTTCTTCTGGTCTCTGTCTTGACTCAGACTTGCCCATCTTCTGGTCGCTGTCTTAACTTGGACTCTGCCCTCTTCTGGTGTCTTTTACGACTCTGAGTCAGACTCAACCCTCTTCTGGTCTTGGTCTTGACTCGGCGTAATTATTCAGGGGTGGCCTGGACTTGGACTCGAACAAGCTGATCTCGACTACAACACTGCCAATGGAGGGATTTTCAGTGATTAAGCTGTGATCAGAATGACAGACTTTTAATTTCTGGGTGAACTGTTTCTTTTGAATATTTCTACAAAATATTGATTGATTGCCTGTGAAATGTCTCTTAGAGATACCAGACATATACCACAATGCACACACATACATTTAAACAATGATCAATGAATGTTTTTTTCAAACAATGATGCCCAACAAACAATTAATGCACATGACATTTCAGTGGCTAACACTGCAATACTAATAATAAAAATGCATGTACTATAGATTCCAAGCACCTTGGTTATTCTTAATATATATTGGAAGAGTCTGCTATATAATGATCATACAGTAGATTATGGTTTCCTCAGTGTGCTAAAAGCTAGTGAGAACCGTCACTTCTGTACAGAGTTACGGGACATGGGTAATTGGTTTCCTGGCTTGGAGAGAGTTCTGATTGACTGACGTCGAGAGCTACCTGAGGTGGAGTTGTGACTCAACGTGAACATTCATCCACAAGCAGTGATTAAGAAAAACAAACTGACTCTGAACAGATGATGAGTGATTACAATTACAGGGCATAGCTAGCTCTTATGAAGAGAACACATGAATACAGAAGGCTTTCGGCTGCGTCTCGCTGCCTCGATTGACTCCTATAAGGGCAACTCAACCTTCTACCTAAGGAGGATGGTGGATTCTTGGCATGACCACATGGAATTAGAACATGAGGAGGACTGGTGTTTTCAGCCCCCCTTAGTTCCCGTTTAGCAGCATCTCAGGTCCTGGACTGGGTCGCGGAGGGTCTCCAGGCCTGGGCAAGCATGTCCTCATCTGCATCTTCCCCATACTGAGGTCTCCAGGAGAGAGGGCCTTTCTGTAATGCCATAAAGTCACCATAAGAAAAATCATATATCACAACTCTTATTAATATAAATAAGCTTATCGACTTTTTAAAGGGAAGAGAAAATGCTTCCAAAATGTTTAGTTGTTGATGTCAAAGATTGTGTGTGGTAGGTTGGTACACATTAATCTGTCATACAGTAATATGGCTAATATTAATACAATATCTACAGTTTGTTCTGTAAGGATAAATGAAACTAAAATACTTTGATCTCCTGAGAAACAAACAATACACTGGCATCTTCAAGACACCCCACAGAGGGGTGGTGCAGGAAACGCCTCTCTCACATATGCATCGGTGCCTCGTCTCCTCCCTCCACTGGATTCACTCAAAATGGTCAAGAATATAATGTTCTATATGAATGAAAATAAGATTTACATTCATGTTTGGTTTCATTTGAATAGTTTCAGGGCAAGTGGTACAATGGTCTTAATCTTACTAAAAGATAATACAGATCCTAAGAGTTAAGAGAAACTTTGATCACCGTAGAGAGCAATCCCATGCAAATTACCTTTTGTTCCCATTGAGGTGTAGACCACCCAGGTCTGGGACCTGGCTTAATGCAAATTCCAATTGTTTGTACAGGCCTCCATTTGGAGGATGTCTTTTCTTGGTTTTGTATTTAAAGGATTGCAGCAAAAGGGTCAGGGCGATTCTGTAGTCAGAGGGCCCGTAGTATAGAGTATCTCCACACACTCTGTACTATGTATTTTTCTAATACATCTAACATATTTAATCTCAGTTATGCATTTTACTCTTAGATTCGTCTTTGAGAATTTGATGTCTTGTATTGATTTGATATCGTTGAATTGGCTGTGGAGATAATTGGCATAATACATATTTACCTGACTGATAATAAATTGTTACATTTAATTCATTCTGATTACTCTGAAGTTATTTTCTCAAGTAAATTAAGTTTATGTTTTCCGCAAATCTGTGTCCAGGGTTAAGTGCACATTAGATCTCAGGAGATGAAGCATGGGGCGCATCAGGTGAGATTCTAAATTTCTGACTAACCGCTTGACCTTAGTTTAAGTTGTACTCAGTTACGGGAACCATGTGTATGATTTCAGCTTTAATTAAGTTGTACGTAGTTATAATAACTATTGGGGTCTAGGTTGTAAGGATAAAAGAAACTAGAATACTTTGATCTCCTGAGAGGCAAACAATGCACTGGCATCTTCAGGACACCCCACAGAGGGGTGGTGCGGGAAACGCCTCTCTCACATATGCATCTGTGCCTTTTCATCTCCTCCCTCCACTGGATTCACTCAAACTGGTCAAGAATATAATGTTCTAAATTAATGCAAATAAGATTTACATTCATGTTTGGTTTCATTTGAATAGTTTCAGGGCAAGTGGTACAATGGTCTTAATCTTACTAAAAGATAATACAGATCCTAAGAGTTAAGAGAAACTTTGATCACCGTAGAGAGCAATCCCATGCAAATTACCTTTTGTTCCCATTGAGGTGTAGACCACCCAGGTCTGGGACCTGGCTTAATGCAAATTCCAATTGTTTGTACAGGCCTCCATTTGGAGGATGTCTTTTCTTAGTTTTGTATTTAAAGGATTGCAGCAAAAGGGTCAGCGCGATTCTGTAGTCAGAGTGCCCGTAGTACAGAGTATCTCCACACACTCTGTACTATGTATTTTTCTAATACATCTAATACATTTAATCTCAGGTATGCATTTTACTCTTAGATTCGTCTTTGAGAATTTGATGTCTTGTATTGATTTGATATCGTTGAATTGGCTGTGGAGATAATTGGCATAATACATATTTACCTGACGGATAATAAATTGTTACATTTGATTTATTCGGACTTACTCTGAAGTTATTTTCTCAAGTAGATTAAGTGAAGGCTTATGTTGTCCGCAAATCTGCGTCCAGGGTTAAGTGCACATCAGATCTGGGCCAGGTGCGCGGACCTTACAGTTCCATGGTAAGGATTATGCATTTACACAATTTTCCTTTTCAGCCTATATTATGTTAATTACTTTAAATATTGTTAGGTCTATGCCGTAATAATTATACATTTCAAGATTTTTTTGCTATATTTATAGTTTGTACTATGTTTCGATTGATGTCTTGATGTCTATTGTAAAACCTGTCATAAAGCAAATACAGTGTTCTGTAAACTAGTTCACACCACATCAGACTACACAATACAAAAGCATGAAATATTTATTTCGGACCAAAACTACTTCGCAAATAATGAATTACTCTTTTTTTTATACTCAAAGTTTATACATCTGATGTATACATACATCTGTTATACATCTATCAGCATTCGATAAAAAAGCACATTATTTATCGGCTTTAAGATATCGGCCAAATTTTCTTATCAGGCCGATACCGATAACAGAAAAAATGAGCCGATATGGGCCGATACCGATATGGTGGCCGATATATCGTGCATCCCTAATACATACATCTGTTATACATCTATCAGCATTCGATAAAAAAGCACAAAAAAAAAAACTTTTGGAATAAAACAGATTATTGCTCTACAAGATTTTGGAAATGTTTAGGCAAAGTTCATAGAGAGGTTTTTTGATTTTTGTGTGAAAAATACAGACTTCATTTGAACAAATGCTTGCACAATTTCTTCTTTTTGATGCTTATAAACTTATTCCAAAACTTATTCATATGCAGTTCAAAATTTGATTTAAATTTGATTTGAATGTTTCTCAGCTAGTCACAACTTATTAAATTTTTTTTTTAATAAAAAATTTGCATGCTCACAAAACTAAAATAAAATAAAACTGGCCATAAATTAATTTGAGTTTTTATTTACATTAAATATTATAAACCTTGAAACCACCCATCCTGCATTAAACATGAAAATGGTACCAGAAACTAAAACTAAAATAAAAAACGAAATAAACTGAAACTAGAAAAATGAAACTAAAATAAAAAACTAAAAATACTAAACTGAAATAAAACTAACAGCATGAAAACTAAACTAAACTAAAACATTTTTTAAATATTAGTAAAAATTTAATTAAAACTTCTAAACTATAATAACCTTACTATTTGTATTGTGCTATGTAGTGAATGAGTGAAGAAGGCAGCAATTTTAGACGCAGTATGTCACTTATATTCAGCACTGCAGCTATATATCGTGATAAAAATTGGCAATGTTTTCCTCTCTTTCCACACTGATGCTGCTGACAGTTGTTGTACGAGAAAGTATCTTGACATTGTGCTGATGCTTACATCATTACTACAGCAACCAATGTAGATACACTGGATACAAACAAGCTGATCCGATTTCATCACCCGCAAAATGACAAACAAACAGTCAGCCCCAAAAATAGGGGTTTGAAAACCGAATCAGATTTGTGTGCAGTGTCAACAAAGTTCTTCTTACCTGAATGCCATCTTCTTCATAAGATGGGCTTCCATTCTGTCAGGCAGGTTGTTTTCCAACTGAGAACTTGCTGGATCACAGAAGACTGTAGAGAGGTGGTTGTTCTGGAAGCGGCTTTGCGTTTCCATAGAGTCCTTCAGATCATACAAGCAATTAAACACCAAACAACCCAAAGCAATCTAGGCTTTCAAGACTGAGTCTAAAAGTTACCTCAGAGTTGCAGTCCTGTGTTTCTGTGTCCTCCATGTCCAGAGCAGACAGCTCCAGCTCAATGTCTCTGTCAGGCTCACTCTCCATCCCATCCTTCCCCAGCAGATCTGTGCCCTGCTTTGACCCGCTGCTGAAGGAATTATGCCTTACATGCAGCCCTGACATGGACAGCTGATCGCTGAAACACAGAGACACACACAGTGAGCTCTGAAACGGACCCAAAGCTATGAACACAAATTAATCGGTTCTGTTGTTTGGTGTTCTCAGACTAGAAACTCAATATTGAGATCAGGTGAGAGGTGATCTCCCACTCAGAATCTGCCCTATGAGTAATCATCATTGACACCAAAAAACAATGTTAAAACATTAGAGGACTTAACAGAGAAAAACAGGATTTTTTGTAGGTTAGTCTGTAAGTTATACAATTAAATTGTCTAAAATTTATTTTTAAAGATAAATTCAAATACATTTTAAATACATGTTTTATGTTTAGATTGTATATACACACACTATTCAAAAGTTTACATCAGTATTTTTTTTTACATCAGAAATTTTCACTTTTATTCAGCAAGGACACATTAAATTGATCAAAAGTGAAAGTAAAGACATTTATAATGTTACACAAGATCTCAAATAAATGCTGTTCTGTTGAACTTGTGATTCATCCTGGATCCTGAAACAAATTTATCATGGTTTACAGAAATACCCACACACACACAACATCTTTCTTGAGCAGCAAATCATCATATTAGAAAGATTTCTGAAGGATCATGTGACACTGAAGACTATATGATGAGTAATGATGCTTCCAAAAACATTAAAAAAATTCCTACAACCCAGTGTAAACATTACAAAAACGTATATAAATATATCCTAATAATGCATCTTTATTCAAAAGCATATTTGTTTTTCCATGGTATGGACAACAGAGGTCATTTAAATAAACAAGCATCGGGCTAAAAAAAAGCATCACTGGTGCAAGATACATTGATTAAAATTATTATTTAGATAAGAGTGATCCTGGAGGGCCACTGTCCTGCAGAGTTTAGCTCCATCCCTAATCAAACACACCTGCCTGTAGCTTTCTAGTGATCTTGAAGACATTGATTAGCTTGTTCAGGTGTGTTTGCTTAGGGTTGGAGCTAAACTCTGCAGGACACTGGCCCTCCAGGACTGAAGTTGCCCATCCCTGGTGTAGAATATGGCCCATTTAAGATGACAAACAAATGTAAGATTACAAAAGGAATTTCAAGACAGGTATATACATTAGCTAATTTAAGATATTTGTACATGAATTGCAGCAGGTAGATAAGGACTTGTGGGTGTTGAGGAGACTCTATGAAATGTAAGCCCTCACTGCAGTGTGTAAGAGCTTTGCCAACACAAACAAGAGGAGCTATGTTCCGGCTGCTGCTCTATTTTTAGAACGGTACAGAGGACAGCCAGACGACTATGGCGGGATGGGGTGGGGGTGAAGATGGGGAAACACTGTGAAGACTACTGCTACAATGTTCCTGAAAATCCAGTAAAATTAATGTACAAATGACATTAATAATAATTTGTACATGCACAACTATGTGGTTGCTAAGCTGTTCTGAGTGGTTGCTAGTTGGTTGTGTACTGGCCTAAGTCAACAGGACCCACCCCCAAGTCTTATATATGATATTTCAGTCTCTAGGCTCAGATGTATGCTCAAAGTAAGTCTATGGAATTTTTTGTTGTTGTTTAATATTAAGCATTTGCATTATGAAAAAAAAAAGTTTCTAGATGAGAAATCTCAGTTTGAACTGGTACCTTTCTAGAAAGCTGGAGTGACTAGAAGAGTCAGAACCACGTGGGCCCCATCTGAGGTCACTGTGACCAATATGACAGCTATAGTCTGTAAAGAGAATGGAACATGACTCACTCTCAAAGCCAAAGAAATTCAGAATCAAAAGCATAGAAAGCCATATGAATTCTAACCTCTGAAGTTGACTGAAGTGGTGCCGGAGCACCTCTGCGATGCAGTGGCTTGGACCGGGGCAGTGGTGTGAAAGCCAGTGCGGGAAGCGCGGGAGATGGCTCCCCATTTAGAGATGATGGGCCCCTCTCCAAAAGGAATGATGGGATCTTCTTCTTTCAGTCGCCTATAGGGCTCGAACATGTGCAGCCACCGTTTGCCGCCACTCTCCCCGTCCTGAGGACAGATAATTAGATCGCAATTAGGAATCGTATTACAATCACATTTATGAAGCACTGCTTTGTGTGATGTAACTGTCTATGCTATATTACTTGGTGTGATGTACTTACCCACATGATATAAAGTAATTGATGAAAATGACGATTATCATTTATTTACAATTATCACAACAAAAATTTGAAAATGTGCTATTTAATTTTACAAAAGGGTACTTTTAATGTTTTGTTAGGTAAATGAATCTGCATTACAGTCTCACATTACAGTGAAGTAACTACAGTTCAATCTTGCCAACTCACTGAAGATTTTAGCATGGTGATGGATATGACAATGTTAATGTATTTGGTCTTGGCGGAATAGATCTGCTGCGCTGCTGCTGAATTGCTGCTGCTGTTGGTTATTGCTGTAGTTGTAGATTATTGCTGCTGCTGCAAGCAAGTACAGGAACTTGCTACTGCCAATGCATATGGCGATACGGTGCCGTGAGTATTTAAGACATACTGCTTCTGCACAAATAGCATATAAAATAACCCGTAGCAGATCTATAAAGGTGGAGCTGGGGAAGGTGGAGGGTTTCAGAGAAACTCTGAAAGCGCGCTGCAGGAATCTGTAGTGAATGCTAGCTAGCCATATAAATGCAAGGCAGTAAGCTCATTGGCTGCATATGCAGCATGAACCAATCAGCTGTGCCAAGTTGTTTAACTCTCTGAATATCATCGGTTACATTAACAACCTGTCGCCTGCGCCATCTAGAGTTTCATGACTGAACTATATATTAATGTGTTATATGGTAAGCAAATTTAAAACTAAATCAATGTGAATCTTAAGTGGCTCCACTTGTACCCTGAAAGTGTTCATTTTTAATTCAGTTTAGTTAATTCAGAATCAATAGCAATCTGTTAAAAATAAGCACATTTAAAAGTATTTCACTGTAAATTTGATCTGAAGTGACTCCACTTGTACCATCTATACATTCATTGCTGATTCAATTTGAGGGAATCAGTGGGAATCTATTAAAGAATCAGCATATTTTAAAGTATTTTCATGAGTTCGCTTGCCCATTCAGCCCTGCCATATAATCAGATAATGGTAAATGAGATGGCTTGCTGTCCGCGAAGGAGGCTCGAACCCGAGGCTCAGCTCAAGCCCCGAGTAAGATGGTACTGTGTGGAGGAAAAAGAGAAGAAGGTGAAGTGGAGGGATGCCGAAAGAATTGTCGCAGGAACGGAGCAATGACTGCTGCTTATATACGGTCGTAGCGATGATTGACAGGACTGGATGATTAGGCTCCTCCTGAACATGCGTTGAGAGCTTTAATCAGTGTGAATCTGATCTGAAGTGACTCCAATTGTACCATCTACACATTCATTGTTGATTCAGTTTGAGGGAATCAATAGTAATGTGGTAATTAAAAAACTACATTTAAAAGTATTTCAGTGTGAATTTGATCTGAAGTGACTAAACTTACACCCTCTAAATATTCCCTGTTGATTTAGTCTGAGGGAATTAATATGAATCTATTTAAAGCTGCAGTCCATAACTTCTTTTGGTTAAAAATGATCCAAAATCAATATTTGAGCAAGTACATAACCAGACAGTGTTCAAAACTATCACCTTACTTTAGCCCGATTCACAACGGTTAGCTGATAATAATGTTTTCTAATGAGTGGTATGGGTAGGTTTTCACAGGAAATTCGAGCATGCTGCTGCGTCATTACGTCACGTCTGTAAGCATAAAGAAGTTGTCCCGGCTAATAGGCTATCGCATGTGAGGATCCTGCAGGTGGCGGATCGTTTCTAGCCTTTTCTCACAGCAGTTGGAATAATTAAATTTATCATTTTGATGGCCGATTGAAATTCAGAAAGGATTATGTGTTTATGAAACACATGTGAATTAAATTAAATTATATTCCAGTTATAAATGTGCTTCTGATTACAGATAGCCTGGGATTACACAAGATTTGTATTTTAAAGACAACCAGTTCAAAGGGAGCATAATTTGCTTTTTGGGTTAAAGAATTTCTTAATATGAAATTCGAATGGTATGACAATTAGAGATTAGACTGTTCAGAAATGGAAATCTACACACTAATACACACTATACTCATCACGCAATGTTGTTAACATTAATAATTTGAGAATAAAGTATAACAATAATAATAATTTGCATGGTTTGATAACCGATCTTTAGATTAAATCACCATTGGTAACGCGATTTATTGTAATGCTTTTTTTCCTCAGTTGGTCAGAACAAACGTGGCAGACTTGTTACTTACTTGTTCAGATGACAATATACGGTGAAAATTCTTATTTGGGTCATATATTCCAAGATGTAGGCTAGAATCTGTGATTGCGAAGTACAGTAAATATCCACACCGGTGCGGTGACTGACTGCCACACACACATACTCTTCAGAACATTAGATTAATCCGCGCTGGAGCCGCGCCGACTCACAACTCAGGCAAGGAAGATAATTCCGCACCCAGCTGCAATTGCAGGTTTTCAAACAGAGATGGCGACAAAGAGGCAAAACTTACAGACTGCAGCTTTAAGAATAAGCACATTTAAAAGTATTTCAATGTAAATCTGATCTGAAATGACTCCACAGTTTGAGAGAATCAATCAGTCTGTTAAAGAATAATATTTATATCAATGTGTATTAGTGTATAAGTGTAAAGGTGTTCTGAAGTGAATCCCCTTGCACCTGTTTCATATTAATTTTGACGCCCTTTGAAGGATTCAATAGAAATGTGTTATTGAGTAAGCCGTTATAAAAGTAAATTAGTGCAATTGTGATGCGACCACTTACTAGCTGTTTGGAACAGGAGTGGGTTGACAAATGGTGGGGCTCTGACTCAAATGGGCTGATGGTGCTGCACGACCAGGGCGAATAGTGGGTAAAGCTCTCTTCTCCACCATGACACTTACAAGTCATACGCCCACCACCTACACCCTCAGGATGCTAAAGGAGGAGAAAGAGTGAGATGACAACATTCGATCTCACACCCACCCGTGTGCAACAGGCTGCCAGATTCAAATAAATGGGGGTGGAAAGAAACAATATAAAGTGACTCAGCCTCCGTGGTGCCAAATCTTTCTCTGAGAGTTCATGCGTTTCAAAGCGCTTGTGCGCACACACACAATTTTCAGGACAGAACTGCTTCTTGCTTTGGATTTATCAGTTGCTGAGCAACAGACCCACATAAAATAGCTTAACACACCTCAGAAGGGTGACTGCAGCTTCGGTGCCAAAGTAATTAATTGAAGAAATAACAAATCTGATTTAACGCCACTTTAGCACGGTGCAGACATGTGGTGTAGTTTTCCCATGACACACACCTCTAAAAACACCATATCGGTGGGCCGTACCTCTGGACACACATCCACAGTGAAGACTGGGGAGGACTGGGAGGGCCTGTTCATGTTGCTGTGGGGATGTACCCACTGTTCCTGTTTGTGGCGATAGAGTTCCTCATAGCCAAGAGGAACACGGTTGTACGCGTCCTATACAAAAGACAGAAAATGTTTTTTATCTTCTCCATTCTCATGATGAAACAGCTTAGTCACCTATTTTACTTTTAAAAGTGAAGAATGTGATTTCTGAGCAACCAGCTGTGTGAAAATAATGACTTTTTAAAAACAATTTTCAAATATTCCCCTGTCTTTCATTCCTCGGATACACAGGTAGACACAAGCAAACTCATGCCTTTGATTGAGACAATGTTGTGTGGCTGGACAAACACGCAAACTACAATTCCATTTGAAGCCACTAGTGGCAGAGAAATGACACACTTCACCTTTAAGCCTAATAAATTTACATAAATAAAAATACATAAATTTACATGTAACCAGGCCCAAGTTTCCATATCAATTTACACAGGGAATTCTGCACAAAGCAACAGAACCGTGTCAGACTTCTCCACGTTCACGACAGTACCACGACGGATGCGTGTGCTTCGGTTGACGCATGAGCCGGCATTCTGTCGGAGAACCCGGATGCGCTGTGGCTTGTTTACAAGCAGAGGAATGCACACACGCATACATCGTTTTGCTGTCGTGAATGCGCGTAGAAGTCTGACACGGAAGAGAAGAAATTGTTGAATAAAGTCATTATTTTTGTTTTCTTTGTGCACAAAAAGTATTCTCATAGCTTCATAATATCACAGTTGAACCACTGATGTCACATGGACTATTTTAACATTGTCCTGGCTACTTTTCTGAGCCTGGGAACGTTTCAGTTGCATTGCTGTCTATGCAGGGTCAGAAAGCTCTCTGATTTCATCAAATATATCTTAATTTGTGTTCCAAAGATGAATGAAGGTCTTACGGGTTTGGAACGACACGAGGGTTGGTAATTAATGACGGAATTTTCATTTTTGGGTAAACTATCCCTTTAAGAAATTAAAAATAAAAGCTAATTCAAAATATTGATAAATACTGTTACAGTACATAGATAATAGTAAAATAAATTACATCCACTATCAACAAAATACTGAAATAAAAAAATCTCTAAAATAGACAGATTTATCATGCATCCCTAATTGTTGTATACTGATATTTAAGCTATATGAAGAGATTTTGGACCAATGGCCTTCCTAGCACAACAGAAACCAAAGGACTGTAAAAAAATTACTATGGAAGAGAATTTTCAACTGACACTCTTTCATCAAACATGAATGAGCCTGTAAGACATGAGATAATAAAACCTGCCCTGTGCATTGCCGCTCTCTGCTCCGCTGTGCTGCAGTAGGGGCTGTCCAGCGAGTTGAAGCGCTCCCGGAGGGGAGGCTGGTAGACGGTGGAATGAAAAACCTCCGGAGGGAGAGAGTTACTCCTCCCGCCATCCCTGGGATACAGCGGCGGCCTCCACATGCGCCTGCTGTCATAGACTGGGGTGTACATGCCATGTGCGTGGGACATAGAGGTGTAGGTCGAGGGTTGCCCATACGGAGCGGGGCCTAATCTGTCTGCAGGAGGAATAGAGGGGTGCTGATCTGGGTATAGAGGGCCCACGGAAGGGGGTAACAAGGATTCGGGCACGTTGCTGGAACGATGGAAACGAGCGTTGCATGACTTGTGAGGAGGAACTGTGGAAAACAGATCAGAGTGAGTGTAATGGAAGATTACATGCCACAAGAGAGTGATTCAGGATATGACACTTACAGGCAGGTTGGTGGTAGGGTGACAGGTCATATGGTCTCTGGTCCTGAGAGTAGTAAATCTTAGGATGAGCTCTCGTGAGGACAGGCCCATGTTTGAGGAGACCACAGTCGTCCTCTGTACACAATCCCGAAGCTATCGCAGAGGACTGGCTCCGACTGATGGGAATTCTGGAAGAAAAATAAGAAACAATAAGAATTTCCATGAGAACCAAAGGTGAGCAAAGGCATCTAATTTAAAGAATCTTACAAAGAAATGGCACATTCATATTTCTAAATGAAAAAAAAATAAGGCTGTAAGTTGATTACATTTTTATATAATCTTAAGAATTTTACTTAATATTTTTTATTAATAAAATTGTATTAATGTTTTTCACTGTTCGCACGTAAACACATTCAATTAAATAACAGGCCCATGTGTAATTATTTTCATCTGTAATTTGTGTTGATGACAATCATACCGTAAATTTCTAGGTAAATCATACCGTAAAGCAGTAATCCTCACTCAACTTGTGCAAAAAACACTAATAAAAATGCAATCACTTTCTTCATGGACTTAATCTTACATGTGTAAAGTTGTTTTTGTTAAGTTCACTTAAATTATAAGTTATTTTTTAAAGTATAATAAATGTTAATTTATTATACTTCTAGTCACTCCACAATTGATAGCTCTCAATTATACTGTAATGCTGAATGGCTATAGTTAATGGCTAAATATTAGGGGGAAAAACTATTTCAGTAGAGACATCAAAAGATGCCATTAAACAAATATAAAAAATATACTGACTTTATGTTGTTTCTACATTCATTTGAATATTGAATGTGAAATTATTGCAATATAAAAGTATATTTAAAAACTTTAATGTTAGGTGGGATTAACTGCAAATACATTTTTTTAATCGAATGACAGCACTAATATATATATATGAATTCAATGGGTCATCTTGTTAATGCTATAAATTAATTACAATAATAAAAGAAAATTTCATCATGAACATACATGAACAACAATATCACATTAAACCACAGAAATTACAAAATGACATTTCCCTTACATTCAACTTCCAAAAGTGCATTCATGTTTGCCATGTTACATTCATTTAATTGACTAGTGTTATACGCTGTATTAACAAAAACATTAATGGCATTAATAATCACACTTATACTGACAAGCTATGGAATAATCGAATGTGACTCAACTGCGATTATGAAGGCGATATAGCAGTGATCTACGGCTCTGTGTATTAAATGCCGCTCCATCTGAAAGCACGTGATGGAGATTTACTATTAATCACAGAACTGTCATTACTGACGAGATGCGCATGACAATCACATGCGATTTATCGTGCAGCCCTAAGTTTGTTTGTTGATCATGAAGTACAAAATAGATGAGGAAAACTAGGATGCCGGGTGTATTCAAAGCACCACCATTACTGTCTACAGTGCGTGGAATGGTGCGCTGTGATTGGTTGAGCGGCTATATCGCATTCTGCAGAGAAGGGAGACTGGCGTTTGTTGCGGTTTGGAAAGAAAGGGAGAAAACATGACAGAATAACTCGGCGGATATCGCATTTTGCATAAAATTAAAAATGGACCAGATACAATACTGGTTTTGGCGGAAACTCAAATATTTTTTTTAATGGCGTTTATCGCGTTTTGGAACCAAACTCTTCAAATACATTACTAGAGCAAAATACTATTCTCCCATAACATAAAAAATGAGTATTTATAAGAAGAAGAAGAAAAAGAAGAAGAAGAATTTTACAGAACAACAGTAAAATTACAATAGTAATATATTTGGTTGTCTTAATATCTTCGCATTCAAATGTTTGCATTCACATGCCCTATTTTGCAATTGAAATGGAACGGTTATCTGATTTTTGCAGGAAAGCGACAAATTTGTATCCTTGACAATCGCAAGTCCAAGCCCTTTGAAGAGCGATACACATGTCTCCTCAACAAGCCAGATGATTTGAGGCATCATTCATGTCTCTGGCACAAACGCTGCAGGAGCTATGCACCGAAGTTGAATATTCAGAGTTTATTCAAATTTGTAAGTCAGAGCTTCAGTAATAGTGAAGCACACTTACTGTTCTAGGCTGGCAGCAGGCAGTCCGTTAGCACTATTGGGGAGAGTTTTGTCCTCCTGGTGGTCTCCTCCTCTTGGGATGAGCTGAGTAGGAGACGCATCCTCTGGGACGCCTTTCTCGTGGTTCTTCACCTCTGACCCTGGGACTGCTCCTTTGGTGCCGGTTTTGGGCATAACCGCTGGAACTGACGGGAAGAGCCTCACCGCCCCGCTGGGTTTCCTATTCCTCATTCTGTGCCTGAAAGAGACAGAAAGATGTGGAGAGAACATAAGAGAGGAGGGGAGGAAATGGGGTGACGGGAGGGAGGTACGGCAGATCCTGGCACAGTCATGCCAGTGTTCTGTAAAGTGTGCTGTTGTGTTGGTGGGATCGCGTGGATGAGCTTGAATAAGAATGAGGAACAGGAGACGTGGGAAGGCGGAGAGGTGCGTGTGTGCCAGTGCTCTTTTGTGCATTACAGCACGAGACTGGCTAGTTATGGTCATCAAGATTGTGTGTATGTGTGTGAAAGAGTGTGTGTTCTCACTTCTCGAGCTCCTCCTGCGTGTGGGCAAAAGTGCAACTGGCCCCTCTTGGGCAGCCGCCCTGCTGCCGTAAGTCCCTGCACATACTCGTCTTGTACTTGCAGTTGGGTTGAGCCTGAAAAAGGAGAACAGAATACATTTCAGACTGTTTCAGAATGATGAATAAATAATCTGGTTATAGGTTGCCCTTTCATAGTTTAGGAAACTTGAGTATCAAAATTCCTTGGGAGAAACAAAAATAGATACAACTGAGTCAATAGTTGACATACAGTATGAGTGCAGAGCTATTAAACTAATGTGTCTGTGATTATTTGTGGCCTGCTGTATCATTTGAAGTTGTTTTCACCAAGAAATCTATTTATTTCTACACACATTCTAAATATATCAGAGCTTTATGCTCTAAGGGAAAATCTCTGTTTTCAAATTATATGATTATTATGTTTGTACACCAAACCGTGTATAATAATTTAATGTCAAAAAAACTTTTTTTTTCTTACATATAATTTGAATATTTATTTAAATATACATTAAATAATACATCAATAATTAAAGTATTTTAAAAACAAGATATTTCAATTAATTATAAATAAATAATACATACAATATTATATACACTACAGTTAAAAGGTTAGGGGTCTATAAGTTTTTTTTTCATAAATTAATACTTTGTTTCAACAAGAAGACATTAAATTGATCAAAAGTGACAGTAAAGACATTTATAATGTGACAAAACATTTCTATTTCAAATAAATACAGTTCTGTTATTTTTGTCTTTCTATTTATCAGAGCAGCACAACAGTTTTCACCATTCATAATAAGAATAAGAAATGAATAAGAAATGTTTCTTGATTTCTGGAGGATCATGTGACACTGAAGACTGGAGTGATGATGCAGAAAATACAGCTGCGCATCACAGGAATAAATTACATTTTAAAATACATTTAAATAGAAAACAGTTATTTTAAATTGTAATAATATTTCACAATATTATGTTTTTATTGTATTTTTGATCAATTTATAAGAAACTTTTTTTCAAAACACACACACACACACAGCTATATATATATATATATATATATTAGAAATCTTTTAATTATATAAAAAATTATATAAATAAATATAAATATATATATATATATATATATATATGAATTAATTATATAAATATTATTTATTATTAAATATGTTATTAAATATATATTGTGAGTATGTTTAATTATATATTTAAATGTATCGATTGACATTAGAAGAACACTGGATTACTTTAGACATATCATTAGATGACAAGTGTGGCGAGGGGGGAGTGGTTCAGCGAGGTTTGCACCGGGAGAGAGAGGCAGGAGACGAGCGTAAGTAGGTCAAGCGCAAATGATAAACACCTGTGTCTCGTTTCAGTAATTGGTGTGGAGAGACCAGATAAAAGGGGCCACCTGGAGCATGTAAAGGGAGAGACTGACTGGGAACTCAAGCCACACAGGGAGACTGGTTGCGGGAGCCGGAATTGTATGCAGATTTATATTCTGAGTTATTTAATAAGTGATTGAAAGCGCAGTGGGCACCACTTCTTTTGTTTGTGCCAGAGAACCTCAAATAAAGCACGAGTCCCAATCACGCGGACCCTGTCTTCCTTCCACCCTCTTGAACCTTATCACAACAAGCTCTTTAAAAAAAATCCGCTTTTTTTATGTTTTTCGGCAAAAAAACATACATTGGGCAATTTTATAACAGAAGATTACATTTTGGTAAGCTTCACTCTTTTTATTTTTTTTAACCAACCCTCTGATGATCGTTCAAACTTTTTTGTGCTATAACTTAACGATATATTTAAAGTGAAAATGACGTCACACTTTCAACTATCAGGCCATGTCCACACGTACACGGGTATTTTTAAAAACGGAGTTTTTCGTTCTTCCATTTAAAAAAAAAATCTCAGTCCACATGAAAACGCAAACGCATGCTATGAAGCACTGTCAAGAGCATGCCAAACCATCAGGTGGCTATATAATCTCAACCGTAAAGCCATGTTGGCCAATCAGAAGCCTGAAAAAGTCTCCTGTAGGTGGAGATAACAGCGCAGGCGCCGACGTCACAAGCCAAAAATTCCGGTTTCGCCGTCTACATGATAACACTGCACAGTTTTTTAAATTCTTCACCCTGGCAGGCGTTTTCAAAAATGTTCGGTTTCAGTGAACTGGTGCTGCGTTTTGCGTGTGGACGTACGGCCAAACCGAGTAGAAAAAGCTGCAGTTTTAAAAATAACCGCGTTCGTTTGGGGAGGGCCTCAGAAGAAGACCGTTGAATGACAGGTATATCTGTCAAAAACAATATTAAACGGTGTCAGAACATCATTCATTGTTTGACTTTTGCTGATAAAATTTAAAAAAAATTAAAATGTTTCGGGCAGCTGTACTTAAAGTGACATGGATTGGAAACAGTGCAGAGAGAGCTCATGCTGTACCTGGGGGCTTTCATTGCTCTTTTTGCAGAAGTTTTGGATGAATTCCACCAGTCCGTGGACAACAACCTTCACAGCCAATAACACACTCTCCAGCTCTGTCCAGGATGGAGAGGCCGCATCTACACACACACACACACACACAGGTTATTGCTATGTAATCTGCTTGCGTTTGCATCTCTGTGGAAGTGTGAGTGCGCATCCTCACCAGGGTTGTGGTCGATGCCGGCTAGCCGCTCGAGAGGAGCTCTGAGGCTGTTGAGGTTGGCTGGGTCTCCTGTTCTCTGCAGGATTATGGTGAGCTCCTGCACGCTCTTTGCAAAGGATTCTGGGGATTGAAGCTGTGGCGATGGGGTGGAAAGGACGAATGCATTAAGATGTGTAGCAAAGCGACAAAAATGCCAAACACATTCAACAAAAATCTATACATAATTGCTTTACTATATTTTTGCACTACTGGTCAAAAGTTTGGAATAATTATGATTTTTAATTTTTTTTGGGAAAGAAGTCTCTTAAGCTCACCAAAGCTGCATTTATTTGACAAAAAATACAGTAAAAACAGTAATTTTGTAAAATATTATAACAATTATAAAACGTTAAATGTCAATTCCGTTTTCTATGTCAATATACTGTCAAATTAATATTATTTCACATGTGTCACATGATCCTTCAGAAATCATTCTGCTACGATTTAATATAATTTTCTGCTCAAGAATTTTTCTTTACCATTATCTCTATTGAAAACAGTTGTGCTGCTTCATATTTTTGGCGAAACCTTGATACAATACCATTCAAAAGTTTGGTGTAAAAATACTTGTATTTAGCAGGAATGCACTAAATTGCTTGAAAAATATTTGTTTAATTTTATTTATCAAAGAATCCTAAAACAATTATCACAGTTCCTGCAAAAAAGTAAACAGAAAAAAATGTTTTCAACATTGATAATTTCAGCTGTGCCAACACAGGAATAAATTACAATTTAAAAAAAATATAAATAAAAATTATATATACAGTATATATTGAAATATTATTAGTTTACATACATATGTAAACTGTATATATATATATATATATATAAATATATTAGGGATGTGCATCTCCATAATGAGGCCGATGCAATACGCATCTCGATGCATAGCCAACGATACGATACATTAAAGATACATATGAAGCAGCTACCGATGCGATGCAATACGATTCACCCCTATTACGATGCAGTGCGATCCAATTTCGATTAGATTCGATTCAACACAATGCGATTCGATGCAATACGATGCAATGGAAAATATATGATCACTTCTAATGCCTCGAGGCCTGTTTCATAAAACAAGTTTACCAAATGAGTCAGGCTTATTTCAGTTAGTCTGACTCATTGTCAAATGATTTGGTTCCATGAAGCAAATTTAACATAGGCCTGGACCAAGCTCTGACTCTCTCGCATACTATTATTTGACTTTTCTTTTTTTTTTTTTTTACAGTTTCTAGCCATGCAGCCTTTCTCTCTAGTTTTATTACAGCTGTACCTTTTATAGTTAGCAAAACAGATAGCAGAACATTAGAACATTTCAATCTAAAATAGCTCTTTAAAGCATTAAAATAACTAAATTAAAAGTTAAAATCACTGAATTAAAAATGATACAAAATGTGTTGTGATTGGTTAGCTGGGCCAGTGTGTGTTGTGATTGGTTAGCTGGGCCAGTGTGTGCTGTGATTGGTTAGCTGGGCCAGTGTGTGCTGTGATTGGCAGCACTCGGCGGCTGGTTGGGAAATGTCACACCCCTTATCATAACCGCCTGCGAACTTCAGTGTAAATATTGCGTCAATATCAAATCAATTTGAGCGCGATTTAAACCCAGATGATTGTAACCACTCTAAGTTCGTCTGGCTTGGGAAAGCTAGCGTGTCTCCGACATAGTGATGACACTCGTTGCCTTCTCTAGTGCAGCTCAACCAGGTCTCGTTTCATTCGTCGGTATTTGTGATATCACAAATCCCGGAAAATATGCGTTGTAGTCCAAACGAGTCGTTCGTTGTAGTTTTTGAAAAGTGATTTCTGTTAAATAAAATATCTCCTTTTGAAGTGGACTTTGAGCTTTGTAACTTTCAGTGGTGGAGGTAACGAATTACAACTACTCACGTTACTGTAATTAAGTAGTTTTTTCGGGTACTTGTACTTTTTTGAGTATATTTTTAAAGCTGTACTTTTACTTGTACTTAAGTACAAATTAAGCAAAATAATCTACTTCGTTACTTTTAAATCATAGTCCGTTACTGAGTACGCCCACAATTTGAAAATTAGCCCATAAATTACTCATCCTCAAATCATCCTAGGTGTATATGTCTTTCTTCTTTCAGATGAATCCAGTCTGAGTTATATTAAAAATTGTCTTTGATCTTTCAAGCTGTTTCATGGCACTCAGCAGGTGTTTCATGCATCAGTCCAAAAGCAGTTAAATAAAATGCGCCCATCCATAAAAAAAAAAGTGTCTCACACGGCTCCGGGGGGTGAACAAAGGCCTTCTGCTATGAGCAAGAGGTGGAGAGGAGGTGCACCACAATAAAACCCCACCCTTTATTCAATATTCCATTTCATTTGGAAATACATCACAACACTGAAGTCAGTTGCAACTTCCGGTTCCCGAGTACTTTGATATTGATATTTTTCAAGGTATTGAAGTTAGAAATTCCTGTATCATGACCACTAATTCACGTACTTTGTCAACAAGATAAAAGTGGGTTTTGTTCAAAGATATTATACACATAGATCTTTGATATGAATGAATATTTTTTGGTAATTCATCAAATATCTTTTTTGCGTGAACTTAATTTGTCGTTTATGGAACCGCTTTCACCACAATTGATTTGTTAGATTCACACAGAAGTAGTGGTGATGAGAAACGCGCTTGAGAAACAGCTCAGAGAGGAGAAATCAATCTACATATAAAATATTGGTCACAGATTATTGGTCACTTTCTAAATAATAAAAGTATAGCGCATCCACTAGTAATTATATATAAATAAATAGGTTTTTACCGATGCAAATAAGTTAGAAACGATGCATCGTGATACAAATGCCAACTTGTAGCCGATGCACACTTTTTCAAATCGATGCATTGCATCGTTAACTTTTATGCCGATGCACTGATCCGAATTAGTGAATCTTCCCATTCCTTATATATATATATATAATTTTTTTTTATTTTTTTTTATTATTTTTTTTTTTACTATTATTATTTTTAGGAAATAAATGCAGACATGGTGAGCATGAAAATTAAGAGCATTCAAAAATCGTATTATTGTTATTAAAATCTTTAAATTATTATGTGATATATTATATTTAATAAATTATATTATATTATATTTATTCTCATTTTGATGATTTATGCAATATACATGCGGTACCTTGTCTATGATTGACTGCATGTGAGATTTGTGCATGAGATCCCCGTACAGCAGAGACGACCACTGCTCCGGTGAGATACGCAGTCCTGCTTCCATGGCGATGTGAATGATCTGAGCGTCGTGTTCACGGCGCAGGGCTTCATACGTGCGAAACTCCTCTTTGAGCTGCATGAGTGAGGAATCTTCGTCACGTTTGGTCACCTGAAAAGAGATCAAGAGAAATGCCTGTCGCTGTGCATATATAAATTTAGCACAGGCCCCTATAGTTAACACACTCAACTGAGCCAAACAAACACTGCTGATGTAAATGATCTCATTAAGTTCCTGATTTCATAAGGTGCCACGGTAAATCAAGCTCCAGCTCATATACAAATATCAAGCAGTCTGGATGCATATCAAGAGTTTATTAGATATTCCCATTGCCAAGCACTTTATATCCACATAATATCATGTTACAGCAGGCTTAACACATCAGATAACTCTTTTCCTGACTAGTCGACATAGATGGAGTACTGAGCGTAATAGCTGTTAAGTGATCAGCGGTTTTAGCGCATTTGCTGCATGAAGCTGATTTTAGCTCTGACCTTAAAGCAGGAGGCACGGTACAGCAGCTGCACTACATGACCAATGCTGGTCTTAGACGCCTGAGGGAACCGTGCTTCCAGTTTCTGCACCACAAACAGCACCAGAACCTTCCGCGAGAGAGCAGAGCCGTCCTCCAGAGCCAGCAGCACCAGCTTCAGAGCGTCTTCCTGCATGGCTGCAATACATATACGGACAGAGACACATAGTTAGTGTTGAGATGGATCAATGTGTGCTTGGTCACGTCAGATGAACGGATTCATGCTCTGAATGTTCTCAGACTAGAAAACTCAAATGAGATCAGATGGGAAAATCTGTGTTTTCCCAGTCAGAATCTGCCCTATGAGTAATCATCATTGACAGCCAAGCACAAACACACATTTGGATATTCCCTTTACATGCATTAAAGTAATATTTCGCATTATTTACAACTTGCAACTAGTGACAGACAACATTATCAGCCAGGCAGATTCTATTTGGCATTTTGAGATGATCAGAATCAGCTATGTAAAAATATTTTCATTACCTAAAATAAATGTTAAAAAAATTGCAATTTACAAACAAAATACTAAATAAAATCATTTGTAAAAAAAATCAAGAAACATTTCTTATTATTATCAATGTTGGAAACAGCTTTTGCTGCTTTATAGTTTTGTGTAAACATCATAAATGTTTTTCACGTGAACTTTCAAAAGAACAGCATTTATTTGAAACAGAAATATTTTGGAAACATTATAAATATCTTTACTGTCACTTTTGATCAATTTGATGCATCCTTGACAAATAAAAGCATTAATTTCTTTAAAAATAAAATAAAATCTTTCAGACTTCAAACTTCTGAATGGTATTTTATATATTATATTATTTTTTTTAAATCATATAAAATAAAAACCAATAAAACTACAAAACATATTTGACATAAAAAAACTATAATAGCGCTCCAGCAATTTTAGCCACTTTAGACATTAGGACAAACATTGCTCACCTTAGTCTACTAATCTACCGACAGACTTGTCAATAAATAATACATTTTCTTTTTTTGTGTAAATCTCATTCACGGTCATTACATTTTTTATTATGTGTTATCTGCATTATACCCTGCTCTCTAGATATCACTATCAGCATTGACCTTTGAAAAAGAGTTGACACTTTTAAAAGAAGAAATACGAACTCAGCACAAAACGCAGCTGTAAAGTCATCTTATTGTCCTTTTGAAGTGGAACTACTTTTCCAAAGCTTCTGGTCATGTGCTACAGATATAATTCCAGAACCCTGCTCCTTTATGTCACACCCCTTCCACTTTCCTTCTTAGCATCCTCTTGCAAATGAAAGTAATCAGATTTACTTTTTTCTGGTCATGACATGAATTGAAGTTGTAAATAACCCAAAATATGTGAAAATAACCAGGTATGTATCTTGAATGATGAATAATAAAATGAATTAGTGCAAAGAAATGTTACAACACGTGTATGCAACTCACCAGGTCCTAGAAACTGGCAGCCGCGTGCCCGCACAGCGGCCCATAGGTTAGCGGAGAGCTGCTGTGGGTTCTGGTGCTGCAGGATCAGTTCAGTGACGGTGCGCTCACCCAGAGATCTGCATGCCCGGACTGCACGCATTCGCCCCTCCTCCTCAACCAGCTGGCAGTTCACCAGGGTCACCAGCTTCCTCTGCATGGGTCTACTGAGCGTGCTCTGACTGAGGGTCACTACACCTGTGTGGGAGAGGAAAATGCATGCTTACATATATATATATATATATATATATATATATA